CGGGGGGGGGGGGGGGGAGGATAGACAATAAGTAGGTAAATTAATTCAATTGTTTACTCACTCAGTAAACAATTTGGGGCACCTACTGTATGTTAGGTACTATTCTATGCCCTGGGAATACAGTGGGGAACAAGACAGACACATTCCATGCTGTTGTGGGGTTTGCATTCTAGGGGGGTGGTTATAATGTAGTGTCAAGTTTAAGAAGAAAAATGTAGCAGAACAAATGGACAGAGACAACAGGGCAGTGGGGGAGCGAGTGCTAGGAGGCCTTGGCCTAGACACTTGAGTGAAGTGAAGGACGACGCCATGCAGACAGCTGAGGGAAAAGTGTTCCTGACAGAGGAACAGCACGTGCAAAAGCCTGAGGTGGAACCATGTTCCAGGCCTTTGGAGTTATCACCACTGTCAATCTTAAGTCTTATATTCAGACTCCTAGAATATAAGATTCCTAGAAACTTCTCAGTCCTGAGAACTGAAAGTGGCATCAGGAACCTGTGAATCCAGGCCTATAACTCTCTTCTCCTTCCCTCATCCTGTCCCCACTCTTACAGATGTGGACGAGTGCCAAGAATATGGCCCGGCAATTTGTGGAGCCCAGCGCTGTGAAAATACCCCTGGCTCCTACCGCTGCACGCCTACCTGTGACCCTGGCTACCAGCCCATGCCTGGGGGCGGATGCCAGGGTGGGTGTCCATCGGGCATTGGGTGAGCTGTGGAGGAGATAGAAGGTCCAGCAATGGTCTAACTGTGTGCTGGTTGCAGATGTGGATGAATGCCGGAACCGGTCCTTCTGCGGGGCCCATGCCGTTTGCCAGAACCTGCCTGGCTCCTTCCAGTGCCTCTGTGACCAGGGCTACGAGGGGGCACGGGACGGGCGTCACTGCGTGGGTACGGGGCTCCAGGGGGTGGGTGGGACCAGAGGGTGGGAAGAGGTCGGTCAGGCCCAGCCCCTCTCCATAGATTTGAACTATGTGAACTTTGGGGGTATGGAATTTAGACCTTGGGATATAAGATGGATCCATCTTCAGGAAACCCTCTTTATTCAGATTTTATGTGGGGGATGCTTAAAAAAATCATGCATAAATTATGTAAAATGTACTAATCTTAAATGTACATAAACATTATTTTCCCCAACTTTTTAAAATTTTTTTTTAGAGAGAGAGAGAGATGTGAGAGAGAAACATCGATAGGTTGTCTCCTGTATGGATCAGGGATCAAACCTGCAACCTAGGTATGTGCCCTGACCAGGGATAGAACCTGCCACCTTTTGGTGTATAGGATGATGCTCCAACCAACGGAGCCACCGGGCCAGGCTTCCCAACATTTTATGAAGACACTTTCTAAACATACAGCCTGACCTATATTCTACCATTTTATTATACTTGCTTCCTCATACATCTATCCATGGATACAACTAATTTTTTGGATAGATTTAAAATTAAATTACAGGCATCAATACACTTATTTCTAAATTCTTCAGTATGCATATTATTAACCAGAGTTCAATATGTGTGTATAGATATTTTCATTTGTGGTTCAATTTACATACAGTGAAATGCATGAATTTTAATTATACATTCTCTAAGTTTTGACAGATGCCAACACAACAGGCTACCTTTCTTTAAAGGGAATTAACACTGTGAAGTCCTGGGATATATTTGAACTCCAGGCATGCCTGCATCCAGGAACTATAACAAGGCCGACTGTCTCCTCTCTCGGCTCTGCTTCCCTCTGTTGCATTTATTTGCAGGCAGACTCTCTCTTCACAGTGACAAAGGTGGTCTTAGCACCTCTAGCTAACATCCTCATCTTGGCAGCCCTAGCTACAGACGGAGGCTCTTTCTTGATATTTTCAGCCAAAGTCTCACTCAGGACTGGCTTTGATTGGCCCAGCTTAGGCACTGCCTGTCTCTGAACCAGAGGAACACAGCAATCTGGTGGCAGTGCCTGGGACTTGTCCCCACTCCTAGGAGTAGATGTAGCCCCACTCGAAACACATGGGCTGGAAGTAGAGGAGCAGAAGTCTCCCAATGGAATTTCGGGGTTTATCACCAGAGGAGAAGTTGATGATGGGGGCTGGGCCATTAACAATACCAGTTATATCTGAAAGCTCAGACTTTTAGACCTTTGGAATCAGAGTTGACCACCACTGACTTCCTCTCCCCTGTTGTCTTCCGCTCACAGATGTGAATGAATGTGAAACACTGCAGGGCGTGTGCGGAGCTGCCCTGTGCGAGAATGTGGAGGGCTCCTTCCTCTGCGTCTGCCCCACCAGTCCCGAGGAGTTTGACCCCATGACTGGGCGCTGTGTTCCCCCACGGGCTTCTGCTGGTGAGACTGACGTCAGTGCCTATTTAACTGATGGCTGCGTGCCCCACAGAAAAATGATGTGGTCTAACCCTTCCTGAGTGGACGGCTGCCACTAGTTAAATGCCATTGTTTTAAACAACAAAAAACTTCAGAACTTGTGGGTTAATCTGGGTGGTGGGATTCAGAGTCAGGAGAACTGGAGCCTGCCCGGCCTGACTTTACAGCTTCCTTCAGTCGGCAACTGTTCATAGGGCATCTGTTGTGTTCAGTCCCTGTTCTGGGCACTGGGGACACAGCGGTGAACAGAGGTCACTCTGTCTTGAAGAGACTCACACAGTGGGGGCAGGCAGAGGTAACACAGGTGGTGACAACCCAGAGGAATCGGCTGGGCTGAGGCAACGCAGGCCAGAGGGAACGAGCCTGTCTCCAGGAAGGCCACTGGGTTCTGGGCCCCAGAGGAAGGGCCTGCCAGCCTGAGAGGAGAGTTAGGGAGGGCTCCCTGTCGGAGGGATGTCTGAACTGAGCATTAGGATGAGTAGTGGGTGAAGTAGGGGAGGGTGACATTTGGGGCAGAGAGAGCAAGGACAAAGGCAAAGGTCTGGCCAGGCAAGAGAGGGCCTGGCATGTTGGAGGAGCTGAAGTAAGTCCAGGGAGGCAGGATTGACAGAGCAAGGGAAGGAGTGGGGAGAGAGGCTGCAGAAGGAGGCTGGTGCCAGGCCACACTGACTCACCGTGGTCAGGAGGCTAGACATGTCCCGAGGTTACCCCGGCACCGTGGACGGGTTTGAGCAGAGGGGAGGTATAATCAGACTTTGAAGCCTCGTTGGCAGCCATGTGAGGGTGGGTTGGAGGAGGTGACCCTGGGTTCTGGGGGGCAGGGACTGGGCAGAGAGGATAGGACTAGATCAAAGCAGCCCCGCCCTACCCAGCCACAGGAGGGGAAGAGAGGGCAGGTGGGAGAACACTCAAGAGGCCAAGCAGACGAGCGGTGGGGTGCCTGGGTTTGGGGGTGAAGACTCTGAGGCCAGTTTGGGACACCTTGGATGTGAGAGCCCAAGGAGGTATCCTGGAGGTCAGGGAAATCCCCTCTTCTGCTACGAAAACTGCAGGTGCCATATTGTGCCAGACGTCTGGGAGAGTGTGAGGTGGGAAGGCAAGAAGTGGAGAAATGGCAGGAGGTGAGAATAGGAGAAACGGACAATGATAGTGGAGTCTAGTTCTGCCGCTAATGGCTGGGAGCCCTTTGGGCCTCAGTTTCCCCACTTATATCCTGGGGGCTGGAGGATCAGCCCCCACCAGCTAAGCCTCTTGTCTCTCCAGGCACATTCCCAGGCTCACAGCCCCAAGCACCTGCCAGCCCCGTCCTGCCAGACAGGCCACCCCCTCCTCCCCCTCCCCGCCGGCCCAGCCCACCCAGGCAGGGACCGGTGGGCAGCGGCCGCCGGGAGTGCTACTTTGACACGGCAGCGCCAGATGCGTGTGACAACATCCTGGCTCGGAACGTGACTTGGCAGGAGTGCTGCTGCACCGTGGGGGAGGGCTGGGGCAGCGGCTGCCGCATCCAGCAGTGCCCGGGCACTGAGACAGGTGGGCATGGGCTCCTGGTGGACAAGGGGCTGAGGGTCTGGGTGGTGTGCGTGAGGCTGAGGGGTGGGCACAAACAAGCATGAGGGCTGAAGACTTCGGGGGTGAAGGGTGGGCATCGGCGGAGTAAGCACTGAGACTGTGGGTGTGAGCAGGCCCGGGACGGGGCTGGAAGCGGGAGTCTGGGCTTAGCCTTGTCTCTGTGTGCAGCCGAGTACCAGTCACTGTGTCCCCATGGCAGGGGCTACCTGGCGCCTAGCGGAGACCCAAGCCACCGGAAAGGTGAGGCCAGGCTTTCAGTCCCACCCACCTCCAGCCCCCAGGCCAGCTCCCTCCCACCCAGTCTCTGTTTTCTTTATCTCCCTCTCTCACCCTGCCTGTTTCTGTCTCCTCCCACCCACCCCACCCCCATCTCTCTCTGTCTCCCTCTTTCCCTATCTCTGCCTCTGGGTCTCTGTCTCCATCTCTGTCTCTCTCTTCCCTGATTTAACCACACCGCCTCCCCGCTCCCAATCCAGCCCACCCAATCCCTGGCCTCCACCCATCTCTCTTGGGGTGGGGTGGGGGGGCTCGCCTCTGACCATCCTTCCCGCAGATGTGGATGAGTGCCAGCTGTTCCGAGATCAGGTGTGCAAAAGTGGCGTGTGCGTGAACACGGCCCCGGGCTACTCGTGTTATTGTAGCAACGGCTACTACTACCTCGCCCAGCGACTGGAGTGTGTCGGTACGAGCCCACCCGCACCATCCCCAAAGAACTCCCCCCAGCCCCGCACCGCCTCGGAACCGGGCCGCCGCCAGTAGAAAGTCTCCCCGGAGCCCAGACTCCATCAGTCACTGCCAATGCCCTGGGGGAGCGGGAAAGGGTGGAGGCTGCTGCTTAGCCACTGTCCCTCCCCCGCCGCCCTAGACAACGACGAGTGCGCGGACGAGGAGCCGGCGTGTGAGGGGGGCCGCTGCGTCAACACCGTGGGCTCTTATCACTGCACGTGCGAGCCCCCGCTGGTGCTGGACTTTTTTTTTTTAAATATATTTTATTGATTTTTTACAGAGAGGAAGGGAGAGGGATAGAGAGTTAGAAACATCGATGAGAGAGAAACATCGATCAGCTGCCTCCTGCACATCCCCTACTGGGGATGTGCCCGCAACCAAGGTACATGCCCTTGACTGGAATCGAACCTGGGACCCTTCAGTCTGCAGGCTGACGCTCTATCCACTGAGCCAAACCAGTTAGGGCAAGAATTTTATTTTTAAGGACAGAACAGGACCTGGTCAGAGTGCTCGAGGCGCGTTCCCTGTTATTTCCCTGTGCATCTCTGACTCTGACACTTTCTGGGACTATCATTGTTTCTAGGTCTGTTTCTGGGTCTCTCTCTCTACCTCTTTGCTGACCCATTTTTCTTAGAATCTCTGACTGTTTGGATGTGTTTGTCTCTATCTCTTTGGGTTCTTTCTTTCTCTTTTTTTGCCCACGGACCCAAACTCTGGTCCTACAACATCCTCAAACACTTCATTCAAACAATGCTCAGAGAGGGAAATCACCTTCCTCAAGGTCACACAGCCCTCCAGAGGCCAGACTTGGATAGAGTCCTCTCAGCTTCTAGCTCCCAGTCATGGGAACCCCTCTGCTCTCGCCGCCTATATGACAGCCTCATGCCAGACCACACCCTGTTCTCAATTCAGAACCTTGGAATGACCTCAGAGGGCTTCTGGGAGTCAGACCACAGCCGATGAGGATTTGGTGATAGGCAGAGGTGGCCGGCCGCTCCAGCAGGAGAGGAGGCCGAGTGTCAGTCCCACCCTGATGCATGCTGTCTCTGCCCTCAGATGACAACCTGGGAGTGTGCTGGCAGGAAGTGGGGGCTGACCTCGTGTGCAGCCGCCCTCGGCTGGACCGCCAGGCCACGTACACAGAGTGCTGCTGCCTCTACGGGGAGGCCTGGGGCATGGACTGTGCCCTCTGCCCTGCCCAGGACTCAGGTACTGCCATCTGCCTGGGCCACACTCAGAGGTCCTGCCCCTCAGGCTTCAAATCCAGACCCTTAGAGCTCTTAGTGTTAGCCTACCAGATCTCCCCAAACTCAGCCCCTCGGACCCCTAAATCTTGGTGCCGTAGTCCCCAAGTCACATCCCAGAGACCTCCCAGTCTTATCAGCAGGTCCCATAGGGCCCTGAGGTCTGGTCTCTCTGACCCTCACTCCTGGTCCCCAGAACAGCCCATGCGACCCCCTCCCCCACATCCAGGCCTTAGACCTCCAGTATCAGGTGCTCAGATCCCTCTGTCTTGGCCCACAGGCTCTCTGGTCATAACCCACAGGCCTCCAAGTTCCAGTGCCTTGGATACACATATCCAAGCACTGAGACCCCAACACACAGCCCCGAGGCCCCAGTTCTTGGCTCTTAAAACCCTTGATTCCCCCAATCCTCAGCCCTTGGGAACCCAGCCCAGCCCCAGGCCCAAAGCCCCCATCCTTGATCCTCAGACCTCCAGGTCTGTGGCTCAGATCCTCCCCCAAGCATCCTGGCCCCCAGATCCCCAGAAGCAGTTTCTGGGAATTCCCAGTCCTGGTCCCTAAAACACCAGCCTCCCATATCTGTAGACCCCCTAGTCTGAGTTCCCACGGATCCCCCAAATTCCAGAACATTGGACCATAATTTCTAGCTGCAGTCCTTAGTACTCCTGACCCCAGCACCTTGGAATCCTAGACTCAGGCCTTGGACCCTCAGTCCTGGCTCCAGAACCCCTGACCCCACCCTGCAAGCCAAGTCCCCTCCTCTGAAGCCCCTTCCATGCCTCAGCCCAAGGCACTCCTCCCTCTCCTCTGGGTTCTTCCCACAGGGGCGGGCAGGGTGGGCATGTATGGTGGGTGCAAGGCAAGCAAGGAATGACGGTTAGGCTTGTCTCCTGTTTACAGATGACTTTGAGGCCCTGTGCAATGTGCTGCGCCCCCCTGCATATGGCCCCCCACGGCCTGGTGGCTTTGGACTCCCCTACGAGTATGGTCCAGACCTCGGTCCACCTTACCAGGGCCTTCCATATGGGCCTGAGCTGTACCCACCACCTGTGCTACCCTATGACCCCTACCCACCGCCACCTGGGCCCTTCGCCCGCCGGGAGGCCCCCTATGGGATGCCACCCTTCGACATACCGGACTTTGAGGATGATGGTGGTCCCTATGGTGAATCTGAGCCTCCTGCTCCACCTGGACCCGGCACCCGCTGGCGCTATCGGTCCCGAGACACCCGTGGCTCCTTCCCAGAGCCAGAGGAGCCACGTGAAGGCGTGGGCTACACTGGTGAGCACTGCAGGCCCATGGGACGCAGAGGACTGAACTGTGCAGATATGGAGTCAGGGAGGAGGGAAGGAGAGAGATGCAGAAACGAAGAAGCCAGGGGGAGAGACAGGCACAGAGAGATATGAAAAGACAGATGCAGTCGGAGAAAACAGAGATACACCTGTAAACCCACCAAGAAAGAGGTGAGGACAGAGGGAAAGCTAGTGAACACAGCCAGATACACTTCCTGGCCCCACAGCGCCCCCTGGAGAAGGATGGGTGGTTCAGGAAGGAACAGAGAGCAGCCAGGGGCGATGAGGGAGAGAAGGCACAGACCCTGAATGAGGGAGTCCTCGCACTGTCCTCCGCAGGCGCCCTGGCTGGGCCCTACGAGGGGCTGGAGGCGGAGGAGTGTGGGATCCTGGACGGCTGTGCCCACGGCCGCTGCGTGCGGGTCCCCGAGGGCTTCACCTGCGACTGCTTCGATGGCTACCGCCTGGACATGACCCGCATGGCCTGCGTTGGTGAGGGGCTGGCCACGGCCGTGCCTAGGGATAGGGTGGAAGCCCTGACAACAGGTGGAAGCTTAGTGACGGCGAAGGGAGGGGCCAGCCCAGAAGGCGCAGCCTGACTTGCAGGAAAGCAGAGCTTGGCCTCAGTGCCGGGCTGGGCCGGAAGCCGGTAGGAGGGTGGAATCCTGCAGGTGTGATTCTAAGGACTCCTCCTGCTGCCTTGGGTTAGTTTTCGTAACCTCTTTGGGGAGCTTCAGGCTTCCCATCTGCAAACTGGGAGTGGGAACCATGTTTGCCCAATTTAGAGAGTAGTAGCTCAGGATCTGGGGGCGTGGAGAGACCTCCAGCTTGCTGTGTGACCTGCCCTTGCTAAGTTGTTCGCATCTCAAGTGGCCGTAGTCATAGAACTTCAAGTAATTGTGAACATCATTAATACTGATTTACAACGACACCGAGGCCGGTGTGTAAACTGAGGCTCAGAAAACAGAATTGAGTTCCCCAAGGTCCCACAGCCGAGAAACAGCAGGGCCCGAGCACTCAGAGCCTTTGAGCGCCGGGCTGAGAGCCCCTGAGCAGCGTGCAGGGGCTTCCTCACGCCGGGCGGGGGTGGCTTATGTAAAAGGGAGTCTCAGGCCTTCACCGGACCGGGAGGAGGCAGTTAACGCAGGTGGCGTGCTTAATGCAGCCTGGTTTGGAGGAGGCACTGACCGTGGTTGATACCATCAGTATTATCTTCCTAACAAAAACCTAGTGACGTGGGGCTGCCGTACCCACCCTACAGAGCAGAGCCGAGGCACAGAAAGCCCCGCCCCCTGTGCAGGCTACACAGCCGCGGGCGGCAGGGCCAGGCTCGCGCTCGG